AGTAAGGCCAAACTGAGATTCCTTCCAGCATGTGTAGGACATCAGATCAGAGGACATAGCCCTGGGCCCCTTGGGAACTGCGGACAGGACCGGTACTCAGTGGGGGGCATGCCTCAGCTCCTAAATCATAAGACTGTCCCCCCTCCACATCTGGAGGCTGCTCGGTGGTTCTGCAGAAAGTATAGTCCTCAAAGAAGGCCCTCTTAGCCACGCTGGAACTCCAGAGAGGTCAGCGAGTCTGGGGTGCGACTGTCCAGGCTGGCTTCCTGGTCCCTTCCTGGGAACCCATCATGTCCTGGAAAAAAATGGGGGCTCTGGTCTGTTTATCCCACCCTGAGACTGAGAGACCAGAGAACATCTCAGCAAGGAAGTGAAGAGGCAAGAGAGAGGTGGGACCCAAGGGTGGAGGGTGGGGCAGGGGGCAGGGTAGTCCCCAGGGTCCCTGGCCAAGGTGAGAGGAGGCGTCTCCCGCACACCAGCTCTGTGCAGGACTCCCAAGAAGGCAGTGCTGGGCCTCTCGCCGGGGCCAGGAGCAAGGCCTCTCCTTTTAAAAGCTCCTAAAAATACACTCGTTTCCAATCCCTTCTGGACAGCCCAGTGACCTTGTCACCGCCTCTGTGACACCAGGACATTCGAAATAGTCTTTGATAGGCTGAAGACCAGCCCTGCAGTAGTCTGCCAATTCTCTGCACTCATTCTGAGCTTGGAGTCCTTTGAGGGAAGAGGAAGGGAGGGGCAGGTGTGTGTGTCACAGGTCCCGTGTGTGAGGGATAACTTCGATGTGTTTTAGAAACCAGCTGCAGTAGACCCCAAGGGAGCCTGGTTGACACATTGTCTACGCCGTCCTCTTCCTGGAAGCAACCTGGGCCCCAGGAGAGCAATTTGTCCCGGATAACACATGACTGTGGGCAGAAGCCCCCTTGCTCCTCAATGCCACCTTCCTCCGTCCTCTGCCAAACTTGCCAAGGAGGCTCCTGAAGCAGGTACACAAAGGGGCCGGCCAGAAGCTGGCGGCCAGAGTTTCCTCGGGGACCTGGTTCAGTGAGCCGATGTCTTTTCTCAGTATCTGTGCCCATAAAAAAGGGAGAATCATGACCTGGCTTTTGCCCCACGCTCCACTCCAGGCACACAGATGAGGAAGACCCCAGCAGAGGCCCCCAAGGGGCTTTTTCTCCTGCCAAAGCCTGTGAGGTGCTGGGAGCTGAGTTGACAACTCTGCCTCAGCCCCTCACCCAATTTGATGACATCTTAGGTCAGTTCAGTGGCACCAAGCTCATCAGTCAATCTTTGGACCCGTGGGAGAGCGGGCAGTCTTCCATCTGAGCCACTGTGATTGTCTCTTTCAGCAAAAAGTCATGATATGGAGCCCCCGTTGCAGTGAGGCGCCCTCCCGCCAGCAGCCAGGCACCTCACATTCACGGACACGGAGTTCTCTCTCCCAGCAGTCACTGTTCTGCTGGGGCACACAGCCTGACCCCCACTGTCCGCCTGTGGCCTCCACGCTATGAGAGTCCTTGCCTTCTGTCATAGTGGTGTTACTTCACAACTGGTCCCCAGAGCCACAAGTGTGCTTTGTCCTTGACTCCCCACCACTGCCTCACAAATGATGCTTTTTTTGGGGAGGGGAAGCGAACTCACGACCTTGCACTTGCCAGGCAGGTGTTGTACTGCTGCCCTATATCCCTGGTGGTGATGCTCCCTTGTACTGGGCCTTCCCGTCACACTGCGTAAATTCCTCCACTACCAGGTTTTTCTTTGTAATCACTTATTTAAAGCTGTTCATGGAGCTGGTCCCCCATTAGGTGCCAAGTGCTGCGCCTAGGGTGCTGGCAGTCAGAGCAAGTGAGGAGGACAGGTGAGGTCCCCACTCATCAGGCAGACCCCCTCATGGAGGAAAAGTCAGCCCTGGCCACGAGCCTTCTTGAGACTAGCATTTGGGGTGCTGATCCTGCACGGGGTCATCTTGGAGAGGCCTGGGAGGGACTCCTTGCAGAGGTGACACTTGAATTGAGATGTGAAGGAGGAGCAGTGTGCACCGAAGCTCCTGGAGGGCAGGCATCTTGGGAACATGAGGGTGTGGGTGAGGAGAAGGTGGCTGGAGGGGCACGCAGGTGCAGGGCTGGGGGGCTGCCACGGAGTGTGGGAGAGGCAGCGATGCAGCCGGGCTTGCTTTGTAAGGTGTGTTCTCGGTTGCTGCATGGAGAACAGATGAAAGCAGGGCTCAGGTGAGTGAGGGAGGTGGGTGTGTTGTCTGGGCTCAAGGTGACAGTGGACTTGGTCCTGAAACGAGGGGACAGAATCAAGGGACAGTGAGAAGGTGGTGTCGATGGGACCTGTGTATGGATCGGTCTTAGGGACGGGGCTCTGTGTCATTCACCTGGGAGAAAGACCAGTTGTGAGTTGGGTTGAGGGGGCTTGGGGAATCTGCGGAGAGGGCGGATGGCCAGTGAATGGAGGATTGGAAGCTCAGGGAAGCAGACGTGCAGGAGAGGGAAGCCCCAGGTGTCTGCACGGAACGCCTCATGGGTGGGTCGAGATGGACAGGAGTGAGAATCCAGCTGCGAGGTGACGTTAGGGACTTTGGTCTTAAAGACCATCATGCCTTAGGACAGGGACATGACAGATATTCTTTCAAGGATGGACGGATGTGTGGATGAGTGGGTGGATGGATGGATGGGTGGACAGATGGGTGAGTTGAAGGTTAGAAGGACAGGTGGCCCAGGTGTATCTTTGGGAACATAGTCCTTGCTGTTGACTGACTGGCTGTAAGCTGCAGCCTCCCTGATGTCAGAAGCAGGCTGGGGAGGGTGTCCGGCACTGACCAGGCACCACCACCCGCTTCCTGATCTCCTGTCCCTGGACAGGTTTCCAGCAAGTGTCCCAAGACAAGGCTGCAGAAGCTGGAGCCGTCCCGTGTTGAACACGCTGCCTCCAGATTTTGAAGGGGTCACCCAGTGAGCACAGATAATCCTGTCTTCTGCTCACTCAGTTGGAAAAGGCAGGGACAAGCATTCTCCTTTCCAAGACCTCGGGACTTAGTCACCCTTTGGGTCACCACGGGGTATGCTGCCATCCGGGGGCCCCGTGCCTCCCCATTGCCTGGCCCAGCGCAGCCTGGCTAGGGGACAAATGAGTAGACGATGGTGGCAGGGATGCTGGCCATGAAAACCTTCCTATCTGTATCCTTCAGCATGAAATCCCCGGGTACCAGAACACAGTGGCAGGAAATGACAGTGGCAACTGCCAGCCCATCCCACACCCAGTGCTTCCTATTCACCACCCTCCCAGGCCCCCCAACAACACTGCTTTCTGCACTCATGGCCTCAGGATATGGGTCTTAGGCTCCTCAGCCCCAAACTGGGCTATAAACCATGATGGAGGAGACAGCCTGGGCGGAAGACGGTGTCTCTACCCACCTGTCACCCAGTGGTAACTGCTGAGCCCCAACCTGCTGAGAAATGCGGGTTTGCCCATTGTATTAGTCCATTGTCCATTACTGTAAAGAAGTACCCGAAGCTGGGTGCTTTATAAAGAGGTTTTTTTCCACCCATCATTCCGGAGGTTCAAGGGTGTGGCACCAGCATCATTTTGGGCTGTGGTGAGGGCCTGTTGGTGGGTGGCGTGGGCATGTTCAAGAGGAAGAAAACACATTTCTAGATGAAAGCCAGCGCTGGGGTAAGGGAGGGTCCTGTTCTGTCACACAGCCCTCTCCTGAGAACTCAGAATCTCATGAGAACAGCATCAACCCCAGTGACTTCCCGCCAGGCCTTACTTCTTAAAGACCCCACCATTCCCAACATAGTTGTAGGGGTGGGAAATACATGAACCCTTGGGGGCCAACTATGTCTGAACCGTAGCACCCATGAATTAGCTGTGCCCCTGTCGCCAGAGAGCTTAGGTCCAGGGCAGGGTACAACCAAGACGACACACTCGGTGGGATAGATGCTCCCTAAGACGGGGAGGATGGGAGGGCAGGGGAGGCCTCTGCGCCCCCGTCGTTACAGTAGGAAGCTATGATCTGTATGCTGAGCGTGGTCTCCATGTGTGCAAGTGTTCAATAACTGCACATTTAGGGGGAACACCAGACTACCCTCACTTCTGACACCAACTGCAAGTTCAGGGGTCCCCAAGACCACCCTTTGGTTTGATAACTCACTTGGAGAGCTCACTGCAAGTTGCTAGACTCACTTGGATTTCCCCAGAAGGACGAAGATGGAAACCAGCCCAGGGAGGAAGGCAGAGGCGGAGTCCAGTAGGCCGAGCTTCCGTTGTGCTCTGCCCTCAGAGTCCTGTCCTGGAGCCTCAAGTCCGTATTGAGACTGTGTCACATTGGCACGATAGATGGCCTCAGTCTCCAGCTCCTGCACCGTCAGCTGGTAGCAATATTGTGGGTCTTTTTTGGCATGCCCAGCCCTTACCCTAAAAGTATCCAAGTGATCAGCCCCTGCATTCCTTTTTCCATACAGAAGGGATCAAACTGAGGGCCTCACACTTAACCAGGCAAATGCTCTGTCACACCTCAGCCCCTGCCCTAGATTGTACCGTTAGATTTCTCTGACCCAAGACCCCAGGCACACAAAGATGCTCCCATCAGACACTGCACTCTGAGGGCTTAGGGATCACCCCAGAGGGTGCGAGTCAAAGCCCAGCCTCTCTTCTTCGGGCAAAGGTAAAGGAATGGCATCCTGCCCCCTCTGCACTCACCTGCCCTCTCCTGCCCCTCTGACACCTCACCCCAGGGACCAGATGCTTCTCGGTGCCTTCACCGAGGGAGGGGAAGTTGTTGTGTGTCCAGGGTGTCATCTGTTGTTTATAAAATGCCACCCCTCCTAAGATACTGTGTAGCACTCTGCAGTTCTCTGGGGACTCGTGGTATGGGTGAATACGTTGTGTTCTGCAGGGAATATTATGCACCCCTTCAACTTTCCTGGGAGAGATGAACATTAACTAGATCATAGATCCATGCACCTTGATACGAAATTAACTGAGAAATTCAAGAAGCCTTGACAGCTAAAGTTATTAATCTAAAAGATTCCCTCAATCACTTCCTTAAATGACTCACTTGCTCCATGGCCCAGGAAGCTCTGGAAAGGACCCTGCACCGTCTGCACCTTGCAGGCGGCAGCCCCAGCTGGAGCTGTGTCCCCTTCTCACCAGCATGGTCCCCATGGCTGTTTGCTGCAGAAGACAGGCGAACTCTTGTCCCCTCCCTTCCTCCTCTATTGAGCTTGGCCCTCAGGGATCTGGGAAGTCACTCTGGACAACCAGTGTCCCCCCACCCCGTGGCCGACCTGCTCCAGCAGTGAGTCTCTTCCTTTTCCCCAACACAGATGAGACTGGATCTGGCTGTGCAGTTGGAGAGCAGCTTGGGATAGACACCTTCCTGCTCCGTAATTCACCTTTCTGGGAAAGGCAAAGGGGCAGGTGCAGCCTTCAGCCGTCTGGTAAGGTGATGACAGTTCAGTGTGACTCTTAAGGCACAGAAAATGCACCAGCACCCTCATTTGTCAGGCACAAAGATGTTTGTTGTGACGTGAGAAGGCAGAGGAAGTAGGGCAGTGGCTGCCCTCAGGGCCAGCTCAGAAGTGCTGAGGACGTGGCCTACAGGGCATTCCGAGCCCTGGTCACCCAGGAAGTTGGAAATGGTGGATGCATCTTCCCATGAGTCTTACCACCCCTCTCCTGGAAAGCCGCAGGAAACAGCAAGCTCTGAGCAGAGGGCAGAAGCTCAGCAGGGGACTTGAGGCTCCCAGGTGTCTCCTTGCACCCAAAGACATCATCCCTCCCTGGCATTTTCATTTCCCGGGCTCAGGAGGAGAGTGAGTGGGTGCTCGCTTGGTATTTGGTAAACTCGAGTGAAAATCAGGAGGCTCTTTGGGTGGGGCTGCATTTCTTGTTCCAACTGCAGACGCAGAGCAGTCCCTGGAGTCCACTTGGAGAAGGGGCTCTGCTTCTCTGGCCTGGGGCAGCAGAGCCAAGCTGGGATGGACTCCTGCATTAGTCCCAGAGTGACAAGCTCCAGGCCTGTGTCAGGTGTGGCTGCCTGCAGAGACACCATTACAGAAAAGTGATGGGGCTGGGGGAGGGGCGTGTGCCACACCTGCACCCCCCCCCCTGCTGCTTTTCTCAGCAATGGCTTTTAGCACCTAGGTGTCTGCAGTGGTCCCAAAACTAAATCTGACAGCCTCTGCCCTCACCCCATCCCCTGCCAGGCGCTCACCCAAAGCAGCTGGCATTAAAGATGCCCTTGTGCATATTTGGGCTTCCTCTTCTCCGTTGCTCTCCTGCCTTCTGGTAACATTGGCAGCTCCTCCGCTGGAGAGCCTGGTACTTACTGCGCTGAAGTCACTGCTTCCCTGAAGTGATGGAGACGCTCAGGACAGTGATGTCAAAGTGGCTTCACCCTAGGTGCCAGGTCTTCTGCCTCCTGCTGCCCATCCTCTTGCTTCCCTCTAATCAGAGCCACTTGGGGAGAGAGCACAGCATTGTGGAGCGTGCCCCGTCCTCGCTCCTTGGGTTGCAAGGTGCCAAGCACCCTCTTTGAGGGCCCAGCTGGGGTTTCCTGCCTTCTAGAAAGGCCGGCTGCCTCGGGAACCTGGGATGCTCTAAGGCCTCAAACCTGGGGCTTCCTGAGCTCTGGGCCAGGAGGGCAGAAGGGTGGGGCCCTAATGTGGCAAATGTGTCCTTGAACAAGGAGCCACGGAGGAGGCCAGCGAAGCCTCAAGTTCTGCACACTTGAGAGTGTGCAGAACCTGGAAGGCCTGGGAGCCCCTGGCTAGGTAGAGAGGTGTGGGCAGGTGTGGGATTCCCGCTGAGAAGCAGGGACTGGGCTGGGCCCAACTTTTGCTGCTCCTGAGGGCGCTACAGAGTAGGCTTTGGCCAGGACCCCTTCCCCATCTGCCCTGGGCACAGTCACACAGGCAGGAATTTGACAGTCTGACCCTTGGCTTTGCCACCACTTCCAGAATCAGCATTAGACACACAGCCAGTCCTCCAACCCGCCTTCTGCCTGGGGTCAGTGTCTCATGGCTGGAGGGAGGGCGTGCCAGTCTCTGCTCCTTGCTTAGTAGTTCTGGGCAGAGCTCTGTCCACTCAGGATTCCCCAGCCCCTCCTGCCCCACTGTGAGGGGACACAGAGGGCTCAGAGAGCAAGGATAAACACACTTGCCAACAGTACCCCCATCAATCGCTACCAACCAGGGCCACCTCCCCTTGGCCAGTCTGCTTTGCTCGCGTGAAATCTGCTGTTGCTTTTCTCCTCTTTGGTGTGGTATGCGTGTGCGTGTGTGTGTGTGTGTGTTCCATGGCTTTGTTGCGATGTAATTAACATACCATGCACTTTACTTATTTAAAGCATACAGACATTTTCAGCATATGCACAGAATTGTGTAGTCACCACCACAAACTAATTTTAAAACATTCTCACCTCTTCCCCTTAAAAAGAATTCCTCATCCCTCCCTGGCTCCGTCCCTCCACTCCAACCGCGCAGTTACTCACCTGCTTAGAAACCTGCCCAGTCTGCACGTTCGTTGCCAGGAGAATCGTACAAACTATCGTCTTGGATCTGGCTTCTTTCCCTCCCTTCCCATGATGCTTGCTGGGTCCATTCATGTTTATCGCATACCGGGACATCATCCCCTTTCACCGCCAAGCATACTCCTTACGTGTGGGCTCCGTTTTCATCCTCTTGCCAGCATCCCCAGGGGGTGGGACCAGTAGGTTTGCAATTAACCTGTGAGGCGACACCAGCCGGGCTTTCAAAGTGGCTGCACTGTTTCACATTTCCAGCCCCATACGTGAGGGCTCTAGCTTCTCCTTTTTCTTGCCAACTCTTGCTATTATCCAAGTTTTTCATTTTAGTCATTTAGAGAGTGTGAACTGGTATCTCATCATGACTTTGATCTCCCCAGGTGTTGGGTATTTTTTCATGTTCTTATTGGGCTTTCTGTATCTTCTTTGGAGAAATGCCTATTCTGAGCCTTTGTTCATTTTTCAAATTGAATGGTTAAGAGTTTTCTTTACTTTTGAGCTGTAATTTTCTAGCTTCTAGACCCTTAGTGAGGTTTCCAAATATTTTCTCCCCTTTGGTGAGTATTTTCACATCATGATGGTATCCTTTAAAGTACAAAAGTTTTAAATTTTGTTGAAGTCTAATTTACCTGTTGTTTCTTTGTGTACAGCTTTGATGTTCTATTTAAGAAATCAGTGCCAAATCCAGGTCACAGAGATTTACTACTATTTTTCTAAGAGTTGTGTAGATTGAAGCTCTTATGCTGTGACCTTTGTCCCACTTTGAGTTGATTTTTATATATGGTGTGAAGTTCCATGTTGTTTATCTTTTAGTGCCTAAAACATACACTGAATCTGCGTCTTTCAGTTATGTTCAAATCGTCACTTCATTTGAGCAGAATTCTGTTCATTTTGTCTTTAATTGGAAGCTGCCATAAGCAGAAACCCGATTTCTTGTCAGACAGGAGGGTTTAGATTCTAACACAGTGACCAAGAGTTCCGTACAGTTGTTTATTTCTCACCTGTGCTATAACCTGTCAGCAGAGAGACCCTAGGCTGGTAGAGACCATCAAGCCTTCAGAGTAGCCTCGGCTGGGAAGGGTGTGATAGGCAGGTCATTGACTTTTTTTTTTTTTTTTTTTTTTGTCTTTTTCCTTTTTATCGGTACCGGGGATCGAACTCACGACTGCCTGCTTACAAGGCAGGTGCTTATGCCACTGAGCTAAATCTCCAGCCCCAAGGTCATTGACTCTTGAGGCTTCTCTGTAATGATGTGTGTCACTTTTACCACATTTCAGTGGCCAGAATCCCTTGGTCACATCTGACTGTGGAGGGTCCAGGCCAATGTAAAGTATCCCCAGCGGCAAGAAATATTCATGATCACTTATTTCACTGGAGTGTATTGAAAGAAATTCACAAATTTGAACTTTCCATTGTGCATCTCAAACTTTAAAGACTTATTGTAAGAAAACTCCCCTGTAGACATTTTCAGGTCGTGATGGTAAGAGATCAGAGGCAGACAGAATGCGTGCAGGCTTGGAATCCAAAACTCAGATACGCTGTTCCCCAGAGCTGAAGTTCAGGACCAAGTATCTGACTTCTCAGAGCCCATGGCTTCCCCTCTCCACACTGTCCTTCCTGAAGGGAGTTTGTGGGCGTGGATCGGAGGTGAAAGACGTCCAGTAAGCTGGGATACTCTTTGTCCTTCCCTGCACTGGGAGCCTCCCTCGTGGTTCTTTCTGACACCTGCAGCAAGAGGTTAGGGTTGGGACCGTGAGGAGCTGTTCCTGTTTTGACGGACAGAATTTGTTCTTGGTTTTATTCCACCAAGTGGACTCATAGCTGAGTAAAATTTTCTCTATTTTTAAAAAATTCATTCAGGGGGCTGGAGATTTAGCTCAGCGGCATAAGTGCCTGCCTTGCAAGCAGGCAGTCGTGAGTTCGATCCCTGGTACCGATAAAAAGGAAAAAAGACAAAACAAAAATCATTCAAAGTTCGCTAAAAACCCAGTGTAATGTGCTTGAGTCACACACGTGTTACTCTCTCATTTCCTGACTTAGAAGAGAGGAACACACGTACCCCCAGGCACCATCACCTGTGGGTGCTCAGTGCCAGGTGCATCACAGCTGCAGATACCTTCAGGCACACCTGGTTCACCCGGCTCACCCTGCTCCAGCCCCACCCAATGCTGTGCACAAGGGCCAACCAAGAAAGCTCTTACCCCTGGGACTCAGAATAGCAGCCCTTTCAGGAGGACGAGCCCAGCTAGGACCAGCAAGAAGATGTCCCACTGCTGAGTATCATGGCTTGGGCTGTCTGAATGGGATGCTCCAGCTGGCTGGCCCCAACCCAGGCAGAGGTGCTCAGCCAGGGCTACCTGTGCCACAGCAGCCATAATCCAATCCTGTCTCACAGGCCAGATGGACATAGAGTTGCTGGAACAGGGTGAAGTAACATGGGCTCGCTGGGTCACCTGGGGAGCTGGGGCACCCAGGGCTAAACTCTGCCCAGGTCTTTTGTTTTGTTTTGTTTTGTTTTTTTAATGGTACTGGGGATTGAACCCAGGGTCTCTTTCCCCAACTTACTATTATTGTTTATTTTGAGACAGTCTTGCCAGGTCAGTAAGTTGCCCAAGCTGAACTCAAACATTAGCGCCTCAACTTCCCAGAGTGGGTTACAGGCATGTGCCACCACACCTGGCTTTTTTTTGTTTTAATCAAATCTAGGTTGGGGATATAGCTCAGAGGCACAGCATCTGCCTACCAAGTTTAAGGTCCTGAGTTTAATTCCCAGTACAACAACAACAACAACAACAACAAAAACAGGCCCAGGACAAAGAACTTTCCCACCAGAGAGATGGGATTCCTTTCTTTGGCCGGACCCAGGTGCCTGCACCTGGACATGATTTTAAGGACCCTGGTGCTTTAGAATAGAAAGCCAGGTACCGTCCCCCATGTTCTCCTGGTTGAACTCTGTCATTCACAGTCCATTCAGAGCAACCCAGCCGCTGTTCACTGAGCACATACAGTGTGCCCAGCCTGCACCCTGCAAAGTGTCAAGATAGGTAAGATTTTGTTTCTGCTCTCCGGGAGATGAGGGCTGCCTTGCTCTGAGCAAAAACCTTTTACTGGAGATGCTCATGAATGCACGAAATCCATGCAGAAAATGCATAAGTATGCAACTTAATGAGCCTTTGCACACTAAAAATCAGGGCCCAGGTGAAGAACAGAACGTTGCCAGAAACCCAGAGCCACCCCTTCCTAGCCTCCAGTAACCACTCACCACCACTCTGGGTGCCCTGCTTAGCAGACAGCAACACTATCTGTGGCAGGTACTGGTATCAGCACTTCACATCTATTGATTCATTTAGTTCCTGGCCCAGATATGAAAGTAAAAACCAGAGCATAACAGTGGCAAATGGCAGAACCTGGCTTTGAAGCCGGACGGTTTGTCTCCAAAGTTGGTGTGTCCTTAACTGCCACCTGTTCACTGCCTCCTCTGGAAACAAACAGAACCTACTGTGGTGGTGCACCGCCCAGCACTAGCAAGAGCCCTGAAATCAGTTCAGTCCAGAGTGTCAGGAAGCCATAGGGGTGGGAAGGGTTGCTCTAAGCCTTAATGCATACACAGAAGTTTCCCCAAGAATTCAGGGGAAATGGTGCCTAACCAGCTGGGAAATCGCTGCGCTCTGAGCTGTGACAGGCTCCAGGTAGATCTGAAGGACTCAGGAGCGACAGAACACTTGTCCAGGTGTTTGGACTTTGCAGAGCAGACTTTGGAACAGGAGACCTGTTCAGAGGCAGTAGCAGCCTCGAAGGACGACCATGCAGAGTGGTTCTCCTCCCTGCCTGGGAGGTGTGGGCACAAAGAGGCCCTGCATTTGGCCTCTACCCAAAGATTCACAGTTGAATATGTGGTTTCTGGAGTGGAATTCTGTGGTTGTTTTTGAGTGTGTTTGGGTGGGGTCTCTCGACGTACTCCTTCCTGGAGGACTAGATTGAATCCAGAGGTTGGAAAGGAGTCATTTTTAAAGATAATGGAATATGAAGTGGGTGGGGGAGAACGTTTGTCCGATCCTCAGTCTTTGTGGGTAGGTGGTCACTAAAAACAGGAGGACACGCATGATATAGAGGAAGGGCTGCTGCCCACTTGGGGTGACTACAGGCCGAGTGGGGAGGTGTGGCCTGGGCTGGTGGCAGGAGCTGAGGCTATTATGCAGAAGTGCCCCAGCGGGCAAAGGCAGTGTACAACTTTTGGACATTCAGGTCAGAGCCAATGAGTGGGCGGAAGATCCGACTCTGCCAGAGAGGGGGCGCACTCTGCCCTCCCCGGCCCCACCCCGTCGCCGCCCGGCCGAGCCTAAGCCCGCTCAGCCGGCGCCAGACTCCCGGCCGCGCGCCCGCGCCCCTCCTCCACGGCCTCCCGCGCTCCCGCCCGCGGCGCGGCGCAGAGCAGCGCCCGCCCCTCCCGGGCTGCATTGCAGACGCCGCCGCCGCCGCCGCTGCCGCCGCAGAGCGCCGGGGCCGCGCAGGGATCCGAGGTGGGGCGCGGACTCCGGGCGCATCGACGGCACCGCGGGAGAGGGCGCGCGGCTGTCGGGCTCGGCGCCTCTTGCCTTCGAGTGGGCCGCGGCCGCCCCCGGGTCCTCCCTCAATCTGGGCGGGCGGGCGAGGGAGCGGCGCGGGCCTGGGCAGCAGCGCCGTGAAGACCCCGACCCCCAGAGCCTCTCCGGGCCGTCCAGCGCTGCGCGCGCGGCTCGGGCGCAGTTCCGGCGCAGTCCGCGCGCCGAGCGGCTCCGCGCCCCACACCTGCTTCTGCCCGGCTCCAGTGACGTCGCGCCCTTCCATTGGCCCGCGGGGCCTAAGGGGCAGGACCTGCGCCGCTGAGCTCACCGCCGCGCCACGCCATTGGCCGGGACGGCGCACTCCGGCTGTGGCGGGGAGACCGCGGTACCCGGAGCCCTGCGAGTCGTTCCAGCTGCGGCGTGTGGAGTTCAGCAGGCGCGGGGCCGGGCGGGGCCGGGCAGGGCAGAGGAGCGGGAGAGCGGCGGCGCTGCGCGAGCTGGACCCAGCGGCAGCCGTGCGCCCGAGTCCCAGTGAGTGCGTGGGGTCGCGGGGCGAGGGCGGCGGCCGGCGGGGGCGCGCGGGGGCGGGGCCGACGGGGGCGTGGGGTGGCACTCGTGCTCGCGTGGCGGGGACGCGCGTGTTTATGCGCCTCGCGAGGCCGCGGCGGGGGCGCGCGTGGAGAGCGAGGCGCACGGCAGTGTTTACGGTGCGCGTGGGAGGACTGCGTTTCCGGCGCGAGTGGAACAGGGAGTGTTTGCTGCGTGAGTGTGCGGGGATCGGCCGCTGGGGGCGTGTTTCTGGAGCGAGGGGTGTACAGGAGTGAGCAAGTGCCGTTGGAGATTGCGCGTGTTTTGGGAATGAGTGGGGAATGCATGGGCCCCGGGATGTGTTTCTAGAGTCACCGAGGACGTGTGGTATGCGGGAGGGAGTATGTTCGTTGAATGCGCGGGGAGGAGGTGTGTTGATGTGCGCGCGTGAGCGTGGGGGCCGGCGCTGGGTGTGTTTCTTGAGTGGCGTGAGCGAGCACTTGTGTTTATGTGCTGGCGCGCGAGCAGGGGGCGCGCGTATCGGGGCCGCGCGGGCGGGGCCGGGCGGCGTCGGGGGACTCGGGGGCGCGCGCGGTCCAGGATGAGCGCTGGAGTCTCCAGTGCCCGTCGCGGGCTTAAGGAACGTTGTGGGCGCAGCTGGGTGCCGGGCCTCGGGCTCCTATGCAGACTCAGGGGCCCAGACGCTGTCGCCCCGGGGACCGCCGTTTGGAGCGGCCCAGTGAAGCCAAGGGACGGTTTGTTGTGTGCACAGAATGTGTTAGGAGAGTTGAGACCAAAGGCTTGGGAGAACTTCTGAGAGTAAGCGCGGTTTGCTTACCTGCAGTACAGTGACCACAGAGGGCGTCTGTCCTCCCGGAATCCACGCGCACTTTAGGACCTGCCCTGATTTGCGTGGCATTGGAGGCGACAGTGATGATGTTTGGATGTTCGAGACTCTTGGTGTCTGTAGATTGCTGCAGACATCAAAACCAATTTTCCAAGAGTTAGTCATCAGAGCAGATTTTTGAAGGGAACACATCCTTGCATATTATCTTAATCAGTTTCCTCAGGATGTGGGAACAGTCGTAAAGTACATTTTCCAGTTGGTCCTCAGTGACCCAGTAGGATTCTTAACTGGCCAACCTGACCACAGGCGCCCTTTGTGCTTGGTTGAATGCGGTGTGTTCTGCTGGTCCGGCCAAACCCTGACTTTGTTTGTTTTTTGTTTTGAAACTGTGCTTCCGACAAGTTTTGTTTTGTATTGGGGAAAGGTCTGTGCTTGAAGGACTCTTTTCTTACTGCCTGAAGGGCTTTGTTCAGAGTTTTCCTGCAGAGCCTACCGAGCCCAGAGTTGCCCCTTGTTTGAGAAGCTGGGTAGAGAAGGACTAAGTGGCTGGCAACACGGCGCTTTTCCTGGTGTGTGTTTATAGGAAATAGTTACTGTTTGAAGACAAGTTAATCAACAACAAATAAGCTTGTGTTTTTCTTTCTGTTGGATTTAGGGAGTAGCTATGTTTAATGTTCTAGAAAATAGCATTAGTAAGACAAGCTTTACCCAGATAAACTTAGCTTCGTAGTGAAAAAAAGGAGAGAACTGATACGAACCCTGAGGAACGTGGTTAGCTCCTCCGGATCACTTGCATTCTGGATAATCGCAGTGGAAAGACAGAGACAGTCTCCTCTTTGGCACAGCGCGGGGCCCTGCTCCTGGAGTAGCTGGCCCTGCTGCAATCTGTTCAGGTTGCACTGAGGTTCTGTAGTCCATGGGTAACAGGTGGAACACAGAATTGTTTACTTTACATGAGAAGATAGAGAAGTAAGAGGATTGGTTGACCTTGAACGTTTCCCAAGTGAAAGGAACAAAGTGCTTCTGACAGCTAGGATCCAAGGGCTCCTCTCAAGAGCACGTCTTCTGGCTGTGCAGGAAGTAAAAATTCGGGGAGTGGAGCGTTTCCTTAGGAAGCCGTCAGATTGGTGCTCTTTTGGTCCTTGCTCTTGTGAATTTCTGAGCTTCCAGGACTGTGCTTGTGGGCCGCCTTTTTTACAGGTTTACGGCAGAGTCCTTAGACCGTTTGTGTGACGTACAACTTCAGTGTTGCTGAGATCACTAAGGATCATTTCGTTAAACTTGGTGGTTTTCCAGAAGTCCTTTATCCTTGCCTACATTCTGCCTGATATTCCCTGTGTGTCTGCTGTGTCTTCTCACATTAAAGTGGTTTAATACTTGTATTCCATCAGGCCTTTCAAAAGAGGGAGGCTCTGAGTGGCGCCAGGGCTTCATTATTAAACAGCAGCCGTGCATCCTGTCACACAGCGTGAGCCTAATGTTTGGGAGGTTATCTCAGCTATGTGTTCCTTTGCCAAAAAGCTTCTGGCAGCCTCATGCCGTATCATTTATTTGTGTGCACCACTATTTTTTTTTTTTTAACAAGCGATTTAAGGGAAGTTTTTAATGCAGTGAAGCAAGATAAAACTAGTGAGATGAAGGAGGATTAGGGAGAAGGAAGATGAAGGGGGACCCGGGAAGGGCTCTGGAGATGCTACGGAGGTTAGTAAGCAGCACACTCTGGGCAAAGGCCGGGAACGGCTTCCTGTGCAGCTAGCGGCTCTACAACAAGCGACCTGCGGTTAGGTTTGTCTTTGCTGCCCCTCCCACGGAGTATTATTTTTCCTCTCTGTGTATGGTCTGACAGCTGTCCATCACGCGAGGATGGGATTGCAGATCACACTGAGGATTTGGGAAGTGCTCATTAGTCTCTTAGGTGACATAAATCAGTATTTTCACCTCCTGTGGTGAGGATACCATCGCTCCAGTTCTGGCGATCTGGGAGATCTGTTCTCTGGTGTGCCTGCATGTGGGTTAGCACGCAGCGGGTGGACCACAAGATGCCTTTGCCCTTAGGAGAGAGTTCCTCCTCGCTGCCTCAGTGGTGAACAGGTGACCCTTTAAAGCCATGGTAGGATGCCGTGTACGTAACGGCTTTAATAAAGTGATCATGGGGACGACAGCAGTACGACCTTTTTTGATGTTTCACTTCAAATTATTTTTATGTATGGAAACTTCAGTTTTGAAAATACCACGATACCTATTGTTTAACGTTAAATCGTCTTTTAAGCACTGAAAGTTGACCATTGTCTTAGACAACGATGTGGAGAAATCGGTCAGCCCATTTTAAAGCACCATTTACTAGCAATTGTTAAACAAATTATAGCTAATAACTAAAAATTAATTTGAAGATGGTAACATACAGCAGCAGGAGTTTAACCAGGGTCAACATTGAGAGGGTTTATAGTGTCAGTCATAAACGTAACATGATGTCTTCGTGGAGTGGAAAGCGATGCTAAGCACGCAAACCTCCGCATTAAACTAAACGTTGTCACCTGCTAAGATTAACCAGGTGGGTTCCGTCCCGCCCCACCTGACTTCATCTGCCTCCGAGTCTCTCAGCCGCCCAACCCTGTTGCTTTGCCCTGTGTCCCGTGTCCCTCCTTACTCTCTGAGCTGCTCTT